AATTGTATTGTTTAAAGTAATATTGATGTTAGATATCAGCTGTCATTAATCAACGGATGTCCTGTAAATATTACTTTAGTATTGTTTGTTTTCTTTTCGAAATATAATTACCTGGTAGAGATAAAGTAACGATTATGATCTTCTGTGAGGGTGGTGTCATATTGAATTATTGATGTTATGTAATGCTGAGTGTTATGTCCGTATTTTTTAAGGTAACCTGAGTACTAAAGATAGGAACTAAGGATTTCTGGGATGCTTTCTAATAGTTGGGATATCCCGACTATCGGGACGCTCAGATTACTGAATATTTAAGGGGTCAAGTGGTTTTTTGAGCTAAAACATTCCGGAGGATTTGTGACAACAGAATGAGGAACGGGAAAAAAGGCCATCGCGTATGATAGTTTTTTTATTTTTGTGAATTATTTGAAATGTACTGCAAAGGTGTGGAAAAAAATCCACGGTTTTCGATGTTGTAGGAAACAGAGACGGATTTTTCTCCGACTTTTGTTAAGTGAACTGAGTATAGCCGTATTTTTGTATTTAATAATAATAAAGATTAGTGACGACAGTGTGAGCCTTTGTGAATCTTAAAAACAAAATTTCGGTTTTTGTTTTTTATTAGATGTGCTGTGGAGATAGGACGATCTTCTTGGTGATGGAAGAAGCACTGCGATGGCCTTTCAATTTTTTAAAGAATTATTTTAATTTTGAATTTGTTTATTGCTGCTGAATTCTGATAGAGAATGATATAATTTGTGTTCCATTTCACACCTTATCACATTACCGTGTACGGTTCGGCCACAGAATTGTTCTTCCTTTCATGATAAATTAAGCATTCAGCGGAAAAGCTTACAACAAAATGATGCTCATAAAAAATAGGGCAATTTCTCCAAATTTGTATCAGATAGATCATATAGATATTAGATCACTTTGAAATTTAAGAAGTGATGTGAAATCCATTTCTTTTATAAACAGCAGATTATATTGAATTAGAGAGAAGTATTCACATTCGGTTACTAAAATCGTCTGATTTTCCGAAATCGGTGTACTGATTTCAATCTGAATTGCAGAGCTCTCAAAAGATTTCCCTAAAATTCGTCAACTTTTTGAAAATGATTATGTTGTAACCTGGAAATAATTCAATTAAACAGAAACTATAATGTTGTCAGCTGAGTGATAGATGGTCAGACATTTCTAGCATACTAATTTATGAGTGTCTGTGTAATCGGTATTCAATTCAGCTCGGTCATTGGATATTCTCTCATCTGCATAATTCTTACATTACATTTTGTTTACATTCACGGGAACGGTTACTGCGGTAGTTTCAAAATTTACAAATTCACAATTCGCCGTCCAATCTGCTCCAAAATAATTCAAACAAGCAGTTTGCAAAAATAACTTTTCTGTCCAAGTTTCCATCGGATTTCACAAGGAAAATACCAATTTCCGTCTACAGCAATTTCTATTCTGTATGTTTGCCAAACTTCTGGACAATTTTATTATTTCGAATGCTTGTACAGTCGGCGTAAGCAACTTTGAAATAAATCATGTCACAAAAAATTTTAATGGTCAACATTAATATTCCTTGTGTATGCATGACAATTTCAAATAAATGTCGGATATTAGTAGACAAACAAGAACAAATGACAGCATTTGCGGAAAAGTTTCGTGCATTAAAATTCCAAATCTCTCTAAGAAGGCTAAATGACAAATTACTGTAGCCTCTCTATTACAAAAAAAGGAAAACACATATCGCATATGTTTACTGTGTTATGATAGACAAGTAAATAATATGCGTTAAAATGAGTCAGCAACAGATATAATGAGGGAAAGGATTGAAGCCAACAACATCTGGTCTCTAAATCTTTGAATTTTCTAGGTCCTAAGCAATCATAACTTACAGTACTATAAAGTATATATTTAGTTTAAAAACCAATATTAAACTGGAAAGGTCATGAATTAAGAACCAAGTACCTGGACTAGCGTATTTATAACTCTCAACTAAGCATCAGTAAGCGGCAAACAAGTAAGGAGGAAACATATATAAGTAAGAAGGAAACATATATAAGTTTCGTCCGTATCCTGGAAGATTATGTTATCACCAACACATTTGAACAATATAAAACACGACCAATGCTAAAATGATCGCATTCTTTGTTATAACTAAATAACAATCTAAAAACTACAAATATTTAAAATGACACGTATCGCACAGAATGAAATACTAAAACTTTCATTTGTTCGTTTTCTCGTTCAGTGAAATAAGAACGACGAACAAATAATAACGTTGTTCATATTGCATTTCGAATTTACCGGCATTATTGAAGTAATATACAGGTATTTTTTACTTTTAAAAATATAATAAAGTATCTACATAGTTTATTTTGATAAATTAAGCGCATTAAAACTTATTGCAACTGCTATACTTTTGTATTTCAGAGTTAGAAGTTTTGAATTTATCGCAACGAAATTTCCGTCATGCAAAAGAATGGTCGCAACACTATTTTACTCTGATTCTGCGCCTGAAAAATGACCAAATTTTCAATTATTTCGCCCTTCTCATTTTCTTTAATTTGAATTACTATTCTCTCGCCATAATAAAACAATGACTTTGCTTCTTGACAAAAAAACTGAACTATTTTCATTTCAAACATTTTGTGCTAATCGTTAATACCAGTTACTTAATATTTGATTGAATAAAATGAACCGTGATCAAAATTACATGAGATATCGAGCAACATCCATTGCACCACCTGCAAGAGTTTTCTTTTCTTCTTTTCACAAATTACATTATTCCAGAAATGATAGAAAAAATTCTATAGTCACTGATACCTTCTTAGCAATCCTCATTATGTAAAACTTAATTTTATAATTTTGTTACTTCAATATATATATCTTACCAACAAGATATCGAACAAAGTGGTCGCCCGCAAGAGAGCCGATACGAAAGAGAGATGGATCTTCGTTGCAATAATAATCTTGAAATGTATATTTGTCTGTTAACATACTCAGATCTGATTGTTTACCAGCACAAACGCATAAAACTCGGAAATTTTCCTGAAAAGAATAGAATTTTGCTTTGGATCTTTTGGAGAAGAAACAATAATGATTTTCTCGACAGATAACAGATATCGATGACGTCCGGTGTGTAGGGTGTTTGGAGTTAAATCATCACTTTCGATATACAAAGTTTCATTTCATATTTCAATATATTGTGATGCATATTTTACGGCATCATTCTTTTTTTTATATCCAAAGTATTGGGTATAACACCTTGCCACATCAAAAAAACTTACCGTAAAAATTCCTTGCAGACTTTTGATGCGAACTGTGCCTTTATTCAACGATTCGACAGTAGCACACGTAATTTTGGTATAGTAATAATCTTCGCAATGTCCCATCATTAATTTGAAAATTCTTGAATACTCTGGATACAGAGATGGGCTAAGGCGTGATAACTGTATAACTAAAACATTATCTGATGGTTTGCTTCAAGGTGGTTTAGCAAAGTTGCTTCCATATATTTTTCAATTAATGCTCAGTAGTGCCAAGAATGAAACCGTGTGGTAATGTTCGAAGATCATCTAAGATTTTTGAAACATACTTTGAAAGGCTGAATAATCCTGTGGATTATTCAACTTTTCAAAACACAATCCAATAGAGTCAAAAAAAAATCAAACTGTGGATTATTTCAATCGTTCATAGAGTCAAAAAATCAAACTCTATTTGCACTCATATAGAAACTCATAATTTATATAATATTTGCCCATTTTTAAGAATTCCTTTCTTTACTTCAAGAGCTTACATCGCAGCTGCTTGTCCGACCGACGAATTACATGAAGCACAGGAATGCGTGAAGTGAGACAATGCAACACTGAATCCGCAGCGCTAACTCCATCTCCAACTACAATAACTTTCCCTTTTGAAAACATAGCTGTAGTTGGTGAAGAAAGCAGTCGTTTCAAATCGCGAAGATTGTAAACAATACGATTTTCTTCCAATTCTCCTTTCACCTTAAAATGAGAGCTTCGGGTCTTCACTTCGTAACGTTTAGTTAGTTTAGTCGTTTAATCGTAGTTTAATCGTACGCAACCTTCTCCCGCTCTTTTATTCAACCAAAAAGATACCATTTTATTCCTTTCATGTTTCAATCTATATTTTTTTCTTTTCCAATATATTTTTCAATTAATGCTCAGTATTGTGAAGAATGAAACCGGGTGATAATGTTCAAAGATCATCTAAGATATAAATTTTTAAACATAACTTGAAAGGCTGAATAATCCATAGACGTTTGTGGATTATTCAACCTTTCAAAACACAATCCAATTCTTTTCCATGTTCCATGAATATAATTACTTCACTCTAAAAAAATAAGACTTACACCAAGTAACCGATCCCGATTTTTGCCACAAGCTAATACAACCTTCTTACATCTTAATAACACAGGTTCACCATTTTTTATGCCACGAACTTCCCAAAATCCTTGCGTACAGCTACTTGAACATTTCTAAAAAAATTAAGAGTCTTACCTTATTTTTCTAAAATTAGCCATTAAAAATCGTCTTTACAATGGGGCCTGATCGCCGACATCGATGTTTTGCATTAGCAACAGTCAATGCTAATGCAAAACAACATGCTGAACTAAATGGTCAAAATATCTATAATATATTGCGTGAATCAATATCACGCTCTCATTCTCACCTCTATGCGCATCACTTTCAAACCACAAATAATATTTTTATTTTTATGTACTCTTCTTGCATAATCGGACAGATATTTTCGATAAAGTGATGCTGGAAGACGACTATCAAACTTATTTCCACCGCACCAATCGGCAACAAGAAAAGCTGGAAGATCCAGAAAACTGCCTACACTGACTGATACCATCTAAAAGAATATTGTTCAAAATAAAACTATTTTTCTGTAGAATTTCCCAATCATACAGTTGCAGCTAAAGAAAAATACTCACATCGTCGTCATAATTATTCCAAGATCCACCAATTGGTGTTTGAGCGACTACTAAATGTGGAATAGCACGGCTATGATCGTATATCCAACAAAGTTTCGATCTTCCAAGAGTTCCAGTGTCAGCATTAGGACGCACCAAGGTGTCATACAGCAATGAAAGCGGTCTTGCTCCATTATTCATTATATTTATGCTATTATCAAGCCAAGAAAAGTCCTGAAATCAACAACTATTTAGATGTTTTGTATTAGAAAGAATTTTTTGCAACTTTTATATTAAACAACGTTCGTGAATTATAACTTCTAAAGATATTTCGCAAAAAACCTGATCGAGTAATGACTCCTCGCCATGTTCAGTGAGTTTCTCATGGATCAAATCATTAGGATGAGGCCCATCATCCGGAGAATAAAAAGGTAACCAGCCTGAAAGAAACGCTGATAACGATAAACCGGCTGGTCCATTTCCTGAAAATTGGCGAATTATTCTTTTAATATATTTGCTTGAAATACTTCATCAAAATATGCCTTGCACTTTAATTGACCATCAAGCGTAACATTAGTTGCATTATTTCTAGCTTGTCCAAAAATGATTTACTTCGCATATGATTATATTATCAACTTAAAGGACTTTTACCCATTATTCAAACTATCTGCTAAAACCGATACTTTTATTAAAATTTCAACGAATCAAAATTTTAAGTGGCATTACACGATGTGGATCGCTTTTGAGATCTGTGGAATCTCAAGATTATTCTGCGGTAAAATTACCTACAACAAGTGCATTATTATCAAAACAAAACACGGAAGAAAATCATTGTTTTGCATTGATAGGAAATAATTGTAAAATATAAATAATTACCAACAACGATCACTTCAGTGTCCAATTTTGAAACCGGTGACGTTGATGGAGAATCACCGCACATCAAGGAACTCGTTTCACACCGGGAAGGTAAATGTCCATTTCTCATTTGCACTTTTATTTCAGTGAAAGTTCAATCACCTCCGAAAAAGACATATCTCGCATAAGATAATTTTTTCGTATTAATTCTCGAAATTTTACTTTAACGTCTGCACATAATTTCATAAAGGAGAAAAGTTACAACAAATCGACGTAAAAAAATATCAGGAAAAAATTTTTATTAACGCCATTTGGAAATGATTTTAAAATGATTCTTCCTATTTTTGTTTTATTTTAGTGAATAAAAGTTTCTAGGCGAGGAATTTTTAATACGCTTCTACAGTTTCGTCATTTTGTTGTAAGCTTTTCCGCTGAATGCTTAATTTATCATGAAAGGAAGAACAATTCTGTGGCCGAACCGTACACGGTAATGTGATAAGGTGTGAAATGGAACACAAATTATATCATTCTCTATCAGAATTCAGCAGCAATAAACAAATTCAAAATTAAAATAATTCTTTAAAAAATTGAAAGGCCATCGCAGTGCTTCTTCCATCACCAAGAAGATCGTCCTATCTCCACAGCACATCTAATAAAAAACAAAAACCGAAATTTTGTTTTTAAGATTCACAAAGGCTCACACTGTCGTCACTAATCTTTATTATTATTAAATACAAAAATACGGCTATACTCAGTTCACTTAACAAAAGTCGGAGAAAAATCCGTCTCTGTTTCCTACAACATCGAAAACCGTGGATTTTTTTCCACACCTTTGCAGTACATTTCAAATAATTCACAAAAATAAAAAAACTATCATACGCGATGGCCTTTTTTCCCGTTCCTCATTCTGTTGTCACAAATCCTCCGGAATGTTTTAGCTCAAAAAACCACTTGACCCCTTAAATATTCAGTAATCTGAGCGTCCCGATAGTCGGGATATCCCAACTATTAGAAAGCATCCCAGAAATCCTTAGTTCCTATCTTTAGTACTCAGGTTACCTTAAAAAATACGGACATAACACTCAGCATTACATAACATCAATAATTCAATATGACACCACCCTCACAGAAGATCATAATCGTTACTTTATCTCTACCAGGTAATTATATTTCGAAAAGAAAACAAACAATACTAAAGTAATATTTACAGGACATCCGTTGATTAATGACAGCTGATATCTAACATCAATATTACTTTAAACAATACAATT